ATCGTACTTCGTTCCAGTTACGTATTGCTATTTCGTAGCAAATGTTCTATCATTCACCAGACTGCAAATAAAATATAAATGTTTATCTTTGGGGAGTGGGAGGTTTTATAGGCACTGAATATAGTTTTGATTGAGAGGTAATTACACTGCTTCTTCAGTAGGTAGGACTATATTTTATGTTCCTGTATGTAAACATTGTCTAGTATCTTATATATATTAATATATAAAGCATGTAATAAGTAAATCAGCTTAACGTTGTGCTTTTTTAGGTAAAATAGTATGGAAATTTGCGGCATGGTATCCATATTGCGTGGGTCACTAAGTGCAAGAGATTGACAGGCTGGCTGGTGACAGTGTGTTGCAAGTATGAATTACAATTGGTCTGGAGTCAGGATATATTTATATTTATATTTATGTGGGTGTATATATTTGGCCTTTTCTAGTGTATAGTGAGGTTGAGGTTCGGGTTTGGGGTTAATTTAGGCTGTGGTCGTCTGTACTGTACTTAAATTCTTCCTTTACTTGACCTTTGTTTGTGGTCTCTTAACTTTATAATGCTAAGTTATGCATTTCATGATTCATCTTCAACATGATACTATATTTTGAGTTAATCTGGGTTACTATTGAGAATCTGGTGGGGATAATATAAGAGTCATTATAGTGTTTACCCTGCTTGTTGTTGGCCACTCATGTGACTTGAATGGCTTGACTAGTAAATTCTTGATAAAGAGGTGCTTGCTGGCATAACAGTATGAAGAAAGAGTGATTTAATTCTTGTCGCCCTGCAATATATAAAAAAAAAAATATTTTTGGTTAATAAAATTTTATTTCACAGATAACAGAAAATACTACTCCAGGAGGATGAGGACCATAACTTGGTGTACAAATGACGAGGCAACATCAAGATGGACAAGAGAAACGATCAGGAGTACAGTAAAGGATGAACATTCTCTTAAATAACTCAGTGTACCAAACATGACAGGAAGGACCTCTAGTATTGTGTAGGAGTGAAAGAAGGTTTTGTAGTATTGTGTAGGAGTGAGGGAAGGGCTTTCAGTATTGTGTAGGAGTGAAAGAAGGTTTTGTAGTATTGTGTAGGAATGAGGCGAAAGGACTTGTAGTGTTGTGTAGGACCTAGGGAAGGACATGTAGTGATGTTCGTAAATGAGGGAAGGACTTGCTGACCTCCTGATGAATGAGAGGAGGACTTACTGACCTTCTAATTAGTGAGAGGACGACTTACTGACCTAATTAGTGAGAGGAGGATTTACTGACCTAATAAGAAGTGAGAGGAGGACTTACTGACCTGGGGTGAGAGGAGGACTTACTGACTACTAAGGTGAGAGGAGGACTTACTGACCTACTAAAGAGGTGAGAGAGGAGGACTTACTGACCCTACTAAGAGTGAGGAGGACTTACTGACCTAAGGAGTGAGAGGAGGACTTACTGACCTAATAAGTGAGAGGAGGACTTACTGACCTACTAAAGTGAGAGGAGGACTTACTGACCTACTAAGAGTGAGAGGAGGACTTACTGACCTAGGAGTGAGGAGGACTTACTGACCTAATAAGAGTGAGAGGGAGGACACTGACCTAAGGAGTGAGAGGAGGACTTACTGACCTAATAAGAGTGAGGAGGAGGACACTGACCTAGGAGTGAGGAGGAGGACACTGACCTACTAAGAAGTGAGAGGAGGACTTACTGACCTAAGGGTGAGAGGAGGACTTACTGACCTAATAAGAAGTGAGAGGAGGACTTACTGACCTACTAAGAGTGAGAGGAGGACTTACTGACCTACTAAGAAGTGAGAGGGAGGACTTACTGACCCCTGGGAGTGAGGGAGGACTTACTGCCTAATAGAAGTGAGAGGAGGACACTGACCTAAGGAGTGAGAGGAGGACTTACTGACCTACTAAGAGTGAGAGGGAGGACTTACTGACCTACTAAGGAGTGAGAGAGGACTTACTGACCCTAAGAGGTGAGAGGAGGACTTACTGACCTAAGGATTGAAGGGACTTACTGACCTACTGAGGTGAGAGGAGGACTTGCGACCTACTAAGAGGTGAAGGAGGACTTACTGACCTACTAAGGAGTGAGAGGAGGACTTACTGACCTACTAAGTGAGAGGAGGACTTACTGACCTACTAAGGGTGGGAGGAGGACTTACTGACCTAATAAAGTGAGAGACGACTTACTGACCTAATAAAGTGAGAGGAGGACTTACTGACCTAGCAAAGTGAGAGGGGACTTACTGACCTAGAAGGTGAGAGGAGGACTTGACTTACTAGAAGTGAGAGGAGGACTTACTGACCTAATAAGAGTGAGAGGAGGACTTACTGACCTACTAAGAAGTGAGAGGAGGACTTACTGACCTACTAAGAGTGAGAGGAGGTACTGACCCTACTAAGAAGTTGAGAGGACTTACTGACCTAAGGAGTGAGAGGACTTTGACCTACTAAGGGAGTGAGAGGAGGACTTACTGACCTACTAAGAGTGAGAGGAGGACTTACTGACCCTGGGAGTGAGAGGGAGGACTTACTGACCTACTAAGAGTGAAGGAGGACTTACTGACCTACTAAGAAGTGAGAGGAGGACTTACTGATGACCTAAGGAGTGAGAGGAGGACTTACTGACCTAATAAGAGTGAGAGGGGACTTACTGACCTAGGAGTGAGAGGAGGACTTACTGACCTAATAAGAAGTGAGAGGAGGACTTACTGACCTAAGAGGTGAGAGGAGGACTTACTGACCTAGGAGTGAGAGGAGGACTTACTGACCCTAATAAGAAGTGAGAGGAGGACTTACTGACCTGGGAGTTGAGAGGAGGACTTACTGACTAAGGAGTGAGAGGAGGACTTACTGACCTACTAAGAAGTGAGAGGAGGACTTACTGACCTACTAAGTGAGAGGAGGACTTACTGACCCTGGGGAGTGAAGGAGGACTTACTGACCTAATAAGAAGTGAGAGGAGGACTTACTGACCAAAGGAGTGAGAGGAGGACTTACTGACCCTAGCAAAGTGAGAGGAGGACTTACTGACCCTAAGGAGTGAGACGAGACTTACTGACCCTAGGAGTGAGGGGAGGACTTACTGACCTAGGGGAGAGAGGAGGACTTACTGACCTAAGGAGTGAGAGGAGGATTTGCAGTGTTTAGGAGTGAGGAAAGGACATGCAATGTTGTGTAGGATAAGGGAAGGACTTGCTGTGTGTGGGGAGTGAGGTGGGATGCAATGTGTTGTGTACGATTGAGGGAATGGCTTACTGTGTTTTGTAGGAGTGAAGGAGAGACATGCAGAGTTGTGTAGTATGAGGGAAGGACTCATTGTGATGCATAGGAGTTTGAGAAGGACTCACTGCGATGTGTTGCAGTGTGGGAAGGACTCGCTGTGATGTGTAGGAGTGAGGGAAGGACTCACTGTGGTGTGTAGCAGTGTGGGAAGGACGCACTGTGGTGTGTAGGAGTGTGGGAGGGACTCGCTGTGAGGTGTAGGAGTGAGGGAAGGACTCACTGTGATGTGTAGGAGTGTGGGAACCACTCGCTGTGATGTGTAGGAGTGAGGGAAGAACTCACTGTGATGTGTAGGAGTGTGGGAGGGACTCGCTGTGAGGTGTAGGAGTGAGGGAAGGACTCACTGTGATGTGTAGGAGTGTGGAAAGGACTCACTGAGGTGTAGGAGTGGGGAAGGACTCACTGAGGTGGAGGAGTGAGTGAAGGACTCACTGTGAGGTGAAGGAGTGAGTGAAGGACTGACTGTCAGGTGTAAAGTGAAGGGCTTCTGTCTCACCAATGAGGCAGACTTCTGGTGATGACGTCATTGCTCTTGTGGTCTGTTCCCCCATTGACGTAGACTACTAGTGGTGACGTCACTGTTGTGGTCCACCAATGGAATGCCTAAAGTGACTTCATCTCACTTAAAAACTTAAAATGCAGACAACTTGTGACATAATGTTACAAGCAAGTTGTAATGATTTAATAAGAACTGAAAATTACAGTAAATTCTTAAACTAGCATCTTTTAATCAAGTTCCAGCAAAAGTA